TCTTCGGGACACCATGAAACCTAGAAATTTTCCAGACTCCACTCCGAAGATACATTTGGCTGGGTTCAACCGCATCCGGTTCTTTCTGAGGTTGTTAAAGGTTTCGTCGAGGTCGTCGAGATGGTCTTCTGCTTTTAGGCTCTTTACCACAATGTCGTCGACATATACCTCCAGGTTTTTGCCAATCTGGGCGTGGAAGACAATGGTTACCATTTTCTGATAAGTAGCACCTACATTCTTTAAGCCGAACGGCATCATGACGTAACAATAAATTTCATCGCCAGCATAGAACGCGGTTTTCTCTTCGTCTTCTGGAGCCATTGGCACCTGGTGATACCCCGAATATGCATCCAAGAGGCTTAACCTCTCATTGCCTGAAGCCGCTTCAACTAGTTTGTCAATGCTCGGCATTGGATAGCAATCCTTGGGGCAAGCGTTATTAAGATTTGTGTAATCAATACACATTCGCCATTTGCCATTGGCCTTCTTCACCAGAACTGGGTTAGCCATCCATTCGCAGTAATCAACTTTCCGGACAAAACCAACTTGTAGGAGTTTCTCTACCTCTTCTTTAATGGCCTGAAGCCTCTCCCCCCCGAAGAGACGCCGCTTCTGGGCCACTGGTTTCTTCAATGGGTTGGTACTGAGTTTATGTTGACATACTGAAGTTGGAATTCCTGGCATATTTGCCGAAGTCCATGCAAATACATCATTGTTAGCTCGGAGAAAAGCTATCAGTTCTGCTCTCTCCTCCGGGTTTAATCGAGTTCCGATCTGTGTTTTTCGGCTCGGATCTCTGTCATCAACGAGCACTTCTTCAACATCTTCGACTGGAGCAGCTCTGGTTTCATCTTCCGGTTGATTATCGACGATCTCTACACTCATGACTTGCTGATTATCATGAATTTGCTGGGGAGTGACCTCGGGTGTCTTATCTTTGCCCTTCGTTGGTTGTGTTACCGAGGTGATATAACAGTTTCTGGCCACCTCCTGGTTTCCTCGCAATGTTGCTATTCCCATAGGAGTGGGGAATTTCATGCAGAGATGAGATTGGGAAACCACAGCTCGGATTTCGGTCAATGTGGGTCGGCCAATAACAATGTTGAAAGAAGAGGCCATCTTGACAACGAGGAACCGGACTGAAGGGGCTACATAAGTCTGACCACTCCCAAAAGCCACATGGAGGGTAAGAACTCCTTCTAACGGAACAGGTTGGTTGTTGAAACCATAGATAGGACCATCATACTTCTGCAACAGTGCTGGATCTAATCCCAGACTCTCGAAACAGTGGAAATACATGATGTCTGGTGCACTCCCGGTGTCAACAAGGACACGCTGTACTTCACAGTTGTTAATCATGACAGAAGTGACCAAAGGATCATTGTGGGGTGTAACAACTGTATCGAAATCAGCAGATGTGAAAGTAATTGGTTGATTCTTCCATTCAGCATCGTCAATCTTCCGCTTCTGAGCTCGGTTTTGATGTTTAACCTC